CCGCCTTTCAGTGCGCGCCTCAGTGGGTCAGTGGCAGGGGAAGGAGTGTCAGCTACTGAACATTATCTGTTGCCCGAGGACTCGGAGCTAGTGCCCATTCGGTCCGGAGTGGCTGCCAGTGTACAAGGTTTGTGCAAGGACAAGCAGGAAGAGGGGTCCGGTGTCACCGCATCGCAGGCTGAGAGGGTACGCCTCGCCGAGAACAATGTGGCGCTTCTGTGTCAGTCCTCAACACTCACAGCAGTGCCGACACCCCTCGCCCTCAAGCCCAAATGATATGCCAGTGCCAAAATGCAAAAATACATACAAGTGTACAGTTGTGTCTAGTTCTTCGCCCGATCCCTCCTTGCGCGCTTGATAGCCTTGGCCTTATTGACGGCCTTGCGCTCTCCAAAGTCGGAATCGTGCATCTCCATGCTCGCCAGTCGTCTGGCCGTCGCAACCTTGTTGAGGTTCTCCAGCACGTCGTCCTCGGGGAGTTCCCACTCGGCGAGCGTTGTGCCGATACTCTTCTCAATCGCAGGCAACAATTCAGTGTCCCGCTCCGTCACGACAGTGACGGCCACGCCGCCGCGCCCCGCACGCGCGGTACGACCGACGCGGTGCACGTAGTCGTCTGATTGGCGGGGACAGTCCCAGTTGATCACGAGCGCGACCTCGGGCACGTCCAGGCCGCGCGACCCCACGTCCGTGGTGACGAGGACGGGCACGTCGCGCGCCCTGAACCTCGCCAAGCTCAACAGACGCTCAGGCTGCGTCAGGCCCGAATGCAGCGCGACAGACCGGATGCCGAGCTCGTTCAGCATGAGATGCAGCAGATGTGCCGTCGCCGTACGTTGCGTGAAGATGATGGTCGACGGCACCTCGGGGCCTTGTTCTTCTTCCGGCGTCTCCTCGCGCACTCGCTTTCCCTTCTTGCCTTTAGGCTGGGCGACAGGCTTCGGTTTCGGCCGCGGCGCGCTCCGCAGCGCCGCATCGATCTCTGCCGGCGGGTGCAAAAGCATGTAGTACAGGTACGCGTCGCGCACCTGCGAGGGGATGAAGAGGTACTTCTGCGTGAGCTTTGCGACCGTCATCGTGTCACTGGGGACGCGGTAGACAAAGGGCACCATTTTGCCGGGGGGCGGGGGCCGCTTGGCGAGGTCCGTGATGGCATCGCTGATGGTGGCCGTGAAGAGGAGTGTCTGCCGATTCTTGGGAATGACGCTGAAGAGGTATGCGAGTTCCGGCGCGAATGTGGGGGTCAGCATCCGGTCCGCCTCGTCGAGCACCAATACCCTAGCACGCGCAAGGGGGTTGGCGCCCACGCCGTCAGAGCGGAGGAGGTCGCACAACCTCCCCGGCGTCGCGACAACGACATGGGGACGTCTCTGCAGCGCCTGCGCTTGGCTCAGCATGTCCATGCCCCCCACTACTGTGGTCGTAGTAAGGCCCAGGGGCTTGCCGACGGCCATGAACTGCTCTGCGAGCTGGTACGCCAGCTCCCTTGTCGGCGTAAGCACCACGGCGTAGATCCCAAACGGGTCGCGCGCGATCGACTCGAGAATCGGCAGAGCGAACGCCAGCGTCTTGCCTGATCCCGTCTTCGCGCCGCCGATACAGTCCCGGCCGGCCAGGATGGGAGGCACACACGCGACTTGGATCTCGGTCGGTTTCTTGATGTTCAACTGAGCCAGGGCGGTTATGGCTGGCTGCGAGAGGCCGAGCGAGGCAAAGGACGCGGATGTGTCCACGCGAGGCACGTCAAACATGTCCCTCGGGGCCGGTTGCGTGGAGGTCGAGGAGGACGCGGTGCGGGACGCCTGCACACGCGAGAGCGTCGCTGGGGCTGCTGGCTTGGAGGGGGCTTCGTCCTCGGACTCGTCGTCGTCGTCTTCGCTGTCGTCGTCGCCATCCTCCTTGCCGTTCGGTCGGTCGTCCTCGGAGCCGGAGCCGCCAGACTCGTCGTCGCTGCCGTCGTCGCTGTCGTCGCTGCCGTTGTCGTCGCCCGCCTTAGCCGCCGCCTGCGCCAGCATGGCCTTCATGACCTCGTCCTGGTCGAGCACGTCCGCGCTCTTCTTCTTGGCGACCATGGCTGTCGTTGTTGTTGTTGTTATTGTGGAGGGTGACCCCCTTTCCCAAAATCTCAGTCCCTCCCAGCCGAAATCTTCATTACGTATTCAGGCGGAGTGCGATTGCTTCTCCGCGATCATCATGGGGACGCAAGGGCAAGGCATCACGTGCCCAGTCCCACGTGGCCGCTTATAGGGACGCGCCGTTGCCCCGCTGACGTCGCTTGTTTCTGACGAGCTAGTGGTCGATGGTCTGACGACGGAAGCGCTAACCCGCGATCATGCATTTCGTTTTTAGCTGACAGCAACGCACTCGCTCTTCCCCACAGTCGCTCTTTTCATTCCCCCCTCCTCCACTTCTCTTCTTTCCGCCGCCGCCAGCACAATGGCGACAGCAACGGAACCCCCAGCGGCGCCCGGCCCCGTCCCTTCGACGGACCTCGTCGCGTCCCTTCCGTCGCCTCTGCTCCGCCTGCTCGTCATTTTCGCGCGCCCCATCTCCTTCCTGCGCTCCGCCATCGAGGTCCTTGCCTGGCAGGGCGAGCGGCGCGTCGAGAGCTACCTCGTCGTCCTCGGCTGGTGGGCCCTGTGCCTCGGCTTCGCAGACGCGTTCACTTTCCTCTTCCCCCTCCTCCTCTTCCTCCCCTTTGTTCCGCTCGAGCGGCTCCGCATCGGCCCCCGCAGGGCCGTCAAGACACCGACCCAGAAGCAGCCGGCTACCCAGGATACGCTCCTCCGAACGCTCGGAGACCTGCACAAAATCCAGGCCCTCCTGCCCCCCTCTGCCGAGGCGCCCGTGACTGCACTCTATGAGCAGTTTGCTCAACTCGGGAAGCGCCGCCTCATCCGCGGCCTAGTCGTCTCGTGGGGAGTCTGGCTAATGCTAGGCTTTGTTTTAGGCCCAAGGGCCCTCTTGGCGCTAACCGGCACAGTGCTCCTCCTGTTGCCGTCCCCCCTTTTGGCGCACACGGTCAACCTGCTCGGTAAGAGCTTCGCCGTGCGCCGTGTTTCCGCCTTTGTCTTCATCTGCGTCTTTGGCAGCGCGGAGCAGTCGACCGTCTTCCACTCGCCCATTGTCTGGATCCGCTCCAAGTGGGCCCTGTCCAAGCAGCCCCACGAGGCCATTGGCTTTGAGTCTGTCAAGACCGAAGAGGACGATGTCCACGCCCCCGCCGACCGCGCCGGCAACCCCATCTACTTCAAGTTTGAGCTGCATGAGAACCAACGATGGTGGATGGGTCTCGACTGGACGTCGGCCCTCCTGCCCCAGGAGCGCCCCAGCTGGTGCGATGGCCACTTGCTCCCTGTCTCGCCTCCCGTCGCTTTCCAGCTCCCGCCCCCGAGCTCGATCGACCTCCCCTCTCCCACTGCGAGCGACCCCAACAGCATGGTCCGCCGAACTGCCACCTGGCGCTGGCTCGACGACGACTGGTCCGTCGTCCGCAAGAGCGGCAAGGAGGAGGCCATCTCGCCTGTATCGTCTCGCCCGTCCTCCTCGATGTACCCCGGCGACGATGCTGCCAGCGTTCGCGCCCCTTCCGTCGTGGAGCAGACGCTGCAGAAGAGCCTCGGAAAGCTGAAGGGCGTTTCGATCCCGGGTGCCGGCCCGACGTCGCCCGTCAAGACCACTGGTGAGCAACGCGGACGCAAGGGCTCTGAGAGCACCGACGTGTCCGACGACGGTCACTCGTCGTCCGAGGTCACAGGCACGATTCCGCCAGTAGATGCCGAGACCGACGCCGAAGGCTGGGTCTACGGCGACAACAAGTGGGAGAACATGAAGGCGAGCGGTGGTCTCGGCAAGTTTACGCGCCGAAGACGCTGGCAGCGCCGCGCTGTCTGCACCGAGACGGTGCACCGCATCAGCGAGCCTATGGAGATACTCCTCGAGGGCGGCAGCGGCGCTGCGACCCCCGTCCCGCCCAAGCGCGAGCTCAGCACTGGTGCCGTCGCGGTCAGCACGGCGATTGCGGCCAAGGCCACGCACGTCGTTGCGCCTGCGCCCAGCACCAGCAGTTCCGACTTTGGTCGTCGGAGTGTCGACTCGACACGGCCAGTGCCGCTGACGGCGCCCAAGCCCGACGCCGGCACGCTGATCAACGACACGTCGAGCCGCGATGACCAGCTGCGGCAGCGCCTCAAGAAGGCGATGGGCAGCATGGGGGCGTAGTATGCCAGGATGCCGGATTAGTACTTGTATTTTTTCTACTTCTACCTTTGATGCATGCTTTTTGCGTATTGTTTCTACAAGTTCTACACGGGTCTACACGAGGATGGGCGAATCGATGGACGAGATGCCGATCGCGACGCCGCCCTCGTCGCTCTCACGGCCCTTGGTGCGGAGCAGCGTGCCGACCTCGGCGTTGACGGCCGCGCTGTCGTCCCCGCCAAAGAGCGCGACGCCATACACGCCCAGCTCGGAGACAATGTCGGCGTAGCGGGCTATTCCCTCTCCTCCGCGGACGAGCCAGTTGTGCACGCCCTGCGGCGGCTCGATGAGCTCCATGAGGATGTATCCGTTCTTCTCCCCGGGGCCGAGCTTGGCGAGATGTCCGGGGATGTCCTTGCGGTAGATGTTGTTGCCTCCGCCCTCGCGCTGCGGCTTGAGGACGAAGCGTTCCGGCTCTTCCTGCGCGAGGCGCGCGGCCTCCTTGCCGAGCTCCGAGTCGTCCATGGGCCAAAGTCCCGTCCACGTGTCGCGGAGCGCATCGACGTCCTGCTGTGTCAGGGGCTGCTGGAGGCCTACGGCCGGCCGATTCTTGCCAAGCAAGAAGTCCTCGAGCACGCCCGGCTGCGCGAGTTCCTGCTGCACCTTCTTTGCGCCTGCCAGCTGGAGCGCCATGGAGGGACACTTGATGGCCGTGCTCTTCTCGAGGAGCACGCGCGTGTCCCAGTCCTTGGCGCTCTTGTAGTCGTCCGGCGTGTATGCGGCGCGGTAGTAGACGACGGCGATCTCGAACTGCTTGCCCTGCGCGCCCTGCACGCCCTGCGCGCCCTCGAGGTCGCGCACGAACAGCCGGCCTTCGGGGCCCACTCGGGCGTTGGCGCCCAGTTCCGCAAACGTCATCCGGATCACGCGCACACCCTTCGAGGACAGGATGTACTCGAGCCCGCGCTGGTCGAAGACGTTCCGCTCCCCGGGCTGCACGACGAAGAGCACCGCCGCCTTGTCCCGCCCATATGCCGCCCAGCCGCCCAGGAGGCCGCCGGCCAGACCCTCCGCACTCCGGTTGAGAGGGTAGGCCGACTTGTCCTCGAGAAGGGAGCGGGGGGGCTGGAAGAAGCCCTCGGTCTTCTGCGCAAGGAACCTGGAGTCAGCTTGACCGGGGACTTGCAGCGTTTCCGTTGTGGGCTCGGCACAGCCACGCCGCACAGCCACGCCGGCACGCCGGCGCTCACCGGTGCATCTCCCCTGCCTTCTGGGACAGAGCGCCAAAGCTCGCCGCGATGGTGTTGAACTCGACCTGCTTGATCTCAGCCCTGTCGCCCTCCGTGTGTAGCAGGTAGTCGCTCCGGAACAGGCCGAGCTGGAGGGGCTGCGCGAGGTCGTCGCGGATCTCCTTCCAGCGGCTCCAAAGCTCGGCCTGGAACGCGTCCACGGGCGCGACGTCCTGCATGACCTTGTCGAGGAAGGCGGTGTCGAGCGCGACACGCGCATACAGCGCATTGTACGCCGTCTGGATACGGCGTGCCTTCTCATACTCGGCCCTCGGGAAGGGGGAGGGCAGCAGCGAGAGCGGCGCCGCGATCGTCGATGTTGGCGGATCGGAAGGTGAGGGCGGGAGCAGCGTGAAGCCGTGCGCGAGCGCCCACACCGAGGACTCGCGGAGGAGCGTCTCGCGCTGCACGTCGCTGAGCTCGGGGGGCCAGGTGGGGAGCGCTGGCATGGTCGTTTGAGCACTGGTATGGGTGGAAGGGTGGATTGATAAGCTAGCTGCCTCTGTCGGACTTGGCCTCTCGGCCTGCCGGACTTCTCCAAGGCGTCATTCTGCGTCATGTACCGCGCCGCGTCACGTGATGTTGGGAGTGGGGGCCCGCGATCTTCATGACTTTCCACAACGGAGAACCTCTATTATACATGAGTCGTGAAGAGATCTGGACAGGGGCGAGAAGGTGGGGCGACATCGCGCTGCAGTTCGACTGCAAGATCAGGTGGGAAGCTGCCCATCAGGCGGCTTGGAAGTCAAGCTCGCAGACAGGTCGGTTTCAGCTCGGGAGCTTCAGACTCCATATCCACTCAGGAGATCAAGAAAAGGACCTAGACCTCAGCGAATCCGAGGGTCTTCCGTTTATGCATGAAGGTCATGTCCTTCACAGAGTTTCAGCCAGTCGTGGGTGACGGGAAGATGTGCATGTCGACAGCAAAGGGAACATATGGATGCCACGGACGACGACAGACAGTCACAGGCACGAGGCACGGCACGCGAGTGCTGATCGGCGATCAAGTCGAGAGAAAGCGTGTGCGTGTGCTAGGACTTCTCGGTCTCGAACAACGTCGCCAGGACAGCTCTGTCAGCTCTGTCAGCTCTGTCAGTTCTGTCAGCAGCTGGAACGAACGACGAGGGCCGCGGCGCCGCCGTAGAAGCATGAGAGCCAAGTTGTAACTTGCGAATAGAAAAGTTGCTTACCCATTTGTAATGGACCGATGTCGCCATTTGAATGCAGGCTAACGTACTGGTTTCGGACTCGGCCGAGTCGGGTAAGGAGTGGAGGGCGGTGGAGGCGGGTGGAGGGACTATGCGGTGCCTAGCGACCAGGAGCGGCTGTGGTGGGCGGAAAAGTGCCTTTATCCGAGTCAGTCCAACCACAGCGACCGGCTTCGATCAGTCAAGACTTGCCCGCGACAACTTCTTCCTTTCCTTCCTCCACTACCCCAAGTGTTCATGCTTACTCGTCTGGCCCGCCCCGCTAGACTTCTCCTCCGCACTCAGACTCGTCTTCTCCACGCAACCCCCATCATGGCGACCTCCAGCACCGCCGCCGTCAAGCCGGCCGACCGCATGAAGGAGGGCGGTACCCAGAAGCTCGACGTCTGGTCCATCTTCACGTGAGTTACGCAGCCAGGCGGTATGAACTAACAACAGTCCTGCTAATGTCCCTCCTGACTGCATCAACCTCGGCCAGGGCTTCATGAACTGGGCTCCCCCCAAGTGGATCCGTGACGCTACCTCCCAGGCCATGGACGAGGACATCATGGTCAACCACTACGCTCACCCTCGTGGTCGTCCCCGTCTCGTCAAGGCTATCTCTGAGCACTACTCTCCCTCGTTCGAGAACCTCGCCAAGGAGGGCCGCAAGCTCAAGCCTGAGGAGATCATCGTCACCGCCGGTGCCAACGGAGGTGAGTGGGTCGAGTGTTTGGTCAGCAGCAAGCTGTGCTGGAAATTTCGAAGCGCCCCAGCGTGCCCGATCCGCAAGCTTGGGATCGGAGGATGACCAACGAGCAAGCCACGGAATGCGGATCAGCGACGTGGGCTGCGCCCCAACGTCCAGGCTGTGACCAGTGCTGACAACACAGGAACCTACGCTGCCCTCGCCGCGCACCTCAACCCCGGAGACGAGGTCATCTGCATCGAGCCCTTCTTCGACCAGTACTTCGCCACCATTGTCTTCAACGGAGCCAAGCCCGTCTTCGTCCCCCTCCACCCTCCTGAGGGCGGTGAGGGCAACCACACCGGCAACGAGTGGACTCTGGACATGAAGGAGTACGAGGCTGCGTTCACGGACAAGACCAAGGCTATCATCATCAACACCCCCCACAACCCTGTCGGCAAGGTCTTCACGCGCGAGGAGCTCCAGAAGATTGCTGATGTTGCGATCAAGCACAACGTTCTCGTCATTGCCGACGAGGTCTACGACTGCATGGTCTACGACGACACCAAGCACTTCCGCATCGCCTCCCTCCCCGGCATGTGGGAGCGCACCCTCACCGTCTGTTCTGGTGGCAAGTCGTTCGCCGCTACTGGATGGCGTGTCGGATGGCTCATCGGTGACCAGAAGCTGATCGGCGCCACCCTCGCTGCTCACTCGCGTCTTGTGTTCTGCACGAACGGCCCGATGCAGGAGGCCATGGCCATCGGTCTCGAGGGTGCCGAGGAGCATAAGTTCTTCGAGGAGCAGACCAAGGAGTACCAGGAGCGTCGCGACATTCTCCTCTCCTACTTCGACCAGCTCGGCCTTCCCTACACCAAGCCTGACGGATCGTACTTCGTCCTCGTCGACATGTCCAAGATCAAGGTCCCGGAGGACTTCCCCATCCCTGACACCTGCAAGGGCCGCGGCAAGGACTTCCAGGTCTGTTGGTGGATGGCCCAGGAGATTGGTGTCGTCGCCATCCCTCCCTCTGAGTGAGTTTACAAGCTATGCTGACTTCGCATTCTTAGCTGACATCACCAGGTTCTACTGTGAGGAGCACACCCAGATCGGTGAGAAGTTCGCTCGCTTCGCGTTCTGCAAGAACCCTGAGCTCCTGCACGCCGCCGGCAAGCGTCTCCTCAAGCTCAAGGACTACATGTAAAAGCACGCTCTGCGAGCACCTCACCCTCTACACCCATCCCATCTTAGACAACGAGGAACAGTCGGGGGAAGTAGCCCCGGAACTGGGCGCGGACCTTGCATCTTGTCAAAAGTAATTAAGTTCTATTGTGGTATCTCATGCATTTGGATCTAGACATACGCGTGGCTCGTGTTTGGATGTGAACTGCAGAAGGAGCGCTGATCAGTCGCGGGAGCAGGCGCAGGGGCGCAACAGCGACGTGGTCCAGTCAGCAGCAACATGAGGGCCTTCCTTCTCGACCTTCTACTCCTTTCAACGTCTCCACATCATGATGTCGTTGCCGGAGACAGCTTCCCTCCCACTGGAGACCTCCCCTCAAGACGTGGAGATGAGAGATGACGCCTCCGAGGTCGGGGATTCGCTACCGGTTCCTTCAGAGGATGTCGAGATGAGTACAGAAGTGTGAGAGCTGACCGCCCACGAAAGTGATGAGCTGACAACAGTCCCTCAATTCCTTCGAGGCGGTGAGTTGTTCATAGCTGAACATCCTAACAACCGCCAGCGATCAAGCTCTCGCCTTCCTCGAATCGTACCCGCGCGAGTTCCTGAAGCAGCTCTCCGAGTCACTGAAGGAGGTCGCCGAGGCGCCACCCGGCAGGCGGCGCAAAGGCCGTCCGGTGCCGGGCATCGAGTTGACCCTGCTGAGCCGCAAGACTGGGTAAGCTTATCATGGTTCTTCGTCCGCAGCTGACACCAGTAACGAGAAAACGGTCCGCTTCCCCGATGACCCGAAGACGGAGAACGCTGGTCCTCCAGCTCTCGAGGCTATGGGTCAGCTGCGAAAATATGGTTGTTCCAGCTGACAGACAGCACGCATCATGCACGTTGCGCAGGTGCTGTACCAGGCCATCCTGACGAATGGGACGGTCACGATGCGGTGAGCTCGACGCTTGGCAGGAGCTGACAGGCAGAGAAATCTACTACCGCAACACGGAGCTGTTCCGGAACCAGGCGCAGGTCGATGCTGTGAGCTAGGGATTCGAGTAAGAGCTGACTCAAGCTCGTCGACGATCTCGTTGCGACTGCGGGGCTGAAGAGGCAGGACTTTCATGTCGTGAGCTTTGGCTGCGAACGTGCAGAAGCTCACAGCAGTGCGCATCGTCGAAGGGTCTCGCTGTGTCAAACACGCTGGTTCTTGAGCTCGTGAACGGTGAGGAGTTGGTCTTGTCGGACACTACTGTGAGCTGATCCGACACGTCATCTGGTAGCTAATAGCAGCCAACACTCATCCCTCCCGCGGAGCGTATCGCCTCCGTCACCGCCCGAGCCGGGCTCGAGCGCGTCCTCGTGGTCGAGAAGGACGCGATTCTCGGCACACTCTGCGGCGATGCCTTGCTCTCACACCCACAGATGAGAAGCACTCTCTTGCTTACGGTAGCTTCAACTCACGTTACGGAGCTGACAGCAGGGCAAAGGCTACCCCGACCTCGCAACGCTGCAGCTCCTGCGACTGGTGGCGGACCGGTGGCCCACTGCGCGCATCTTTGTACTCGTCGACGGGGACCCACACGGACTCAGTATCCTCAACGTGTACAAGTACGGTTCGAAGAACAACCGGCACAACGCGGACTATGCTGGTCTCGCGCTCGGCGATCGGGCGGAGTGGCTGGGTGTCAAGCCCAGCGAGCTTCTCGGGTATGCTCGCAGCAGATTTCTGGAGCTGACCCCAGGTCTAACTCGTTGATTCCTTTGACGGACAACGATACACAGAGGGTGAGCTGTGTTTACCTTGCATAGCTGACACGCAGGCCATCGCAATGAGCCGCTCACCCAATCTCGATCCGGAGTGGAGGCGCGAGCTCTCACATATGCTGATGTACAATCGCAAGGCCGAGATCGAGGCACTGTGCGATGCGCCGACCAGCGACCTGAGCCAGATCCTCGAGGGCGGCTCCCATGCTTCCGGCCCAAGGCTCGTCGAGTACATCCTCGAACGCATGTAGCGGACATGCAATCTGTGCCACACATCAGACAGTCGGCAGGCGGAGGCAAGGTTGCCGACCCCAGGGACCCAGGTCGGGGAACACCGAGCGGGCCTCCACATGCCGATAGTTGCCGGGCCGACATGACTCGATATTGGAACACCCGGACGCGAGTGGGTGGGAAGTCGCTGAGTCGCTGGGCGGCTGGGCCGCTGGCGGAGTGCGCGGACGCGGGGCCCGTTGCATTGCGAGTCATCGCGCACGACTTGAGCACGTTGTTTGTGCCCACTCGAGTCTATACACTCTACACACCACTCAAACTTACCCAAAAGCAGACCACGTCCTCTGCCCGTCGCTCACCACTCAGCGTCAAGTACAGAAAGAAGAACCAAAACATCATGTCGCAGAAGCAGCAGAAGCGCATGCCCTATGTCCGTCTCGGCAACACGGGTCTCAAGGTTTCCAAGATCATCCTGTGAGCTGAAGGGCTGAGTGGGGCTTAGCTGACGTACAGCGGATGCATGAGTGCGTCGTGCCCAGCTTCCTTTGTTCGATATGCCAGCTAATGCCCAGCCTACGGCGACCCGGACTACCAGCCCTGGATGCTCGATGAGCCCACCTCGATCGACCACATCAAGTACGCCTACTCGCGCGGCATCAACACCTTCGACACTGCCAACGTGTAAGCTGAGTTTGTGCCTTTGAAAGCTGACAGAGCAGGTACTCGAACGGCGAGAGCGAGCGCATCCTCGGCAAGGCGCTCAAGGAGCTCAACGTGCCACGCGAGGCTTACGTCGTACTCACGAAGGTATGTCTCTGCCCAGCAGCTCACAACCACCCCTATGTTGAGCTGACACCAGGTCTTCTTCCCTGTGCTCGGCAAGGGTGAGGGCGGCACTGTCGGCGCCGGCGACCTCAACTCGATCGAGCTCGTGAACGCGCACGGCCTGAGCAGGAAGCACATCTTCGACTCGATCAAGGCGTCCCTCGAGAGGCTGCAGCTCGACTACGTCGATGTCCTGCAGTGCCACCGGTGAGTCGCCCTTCCTCGATGGGTCGCGTGCAGCTGTAAGATTATGTGAACACAAGCTGACCATCAGATTCGACTACGACACGCCGATCGAGGAGACGATGCACGCGCTCCACGACGTCGTCAAGGCGGGCTACTGCCGATACATCGGCATGAGCTCCTGCCACGCCTACCAGTTCCACCAGATGCAGAGTGAGTCTCTTCAGCGTTTGTCTCCTCATCCTCTTTCACATCTTCGCCTTGCAACAGAAGCTAGCATTACTCAGAGCTAAGCTGACACGCAGACTACGCCAAGACGCACAACCTGACGCCCTTCATCAGCATGCAAAACTTCCACAACGCCGCCTACCGCGAGGAAGAGCGCGAGATGGTCCCCACCCTGCGCATCTTCGGCACGGGCATGATCCCCTGGTCTCCCCTCTGCCGTGGCTATCTGACCAGGCCGTGGAAGCAGGCCGAGGACACGGCGCGCGGCAAGACGGACGTCAACTACCGCGCGCGCAACCTGCACAAGCCGGACGAGAGCCGGCAGAAGATCAACGAGCGCATCGAGGAGGTCGCCAAGAAGAAGGGCATCTCCATGGCGCAGTGCGCGCTCGCTTGGAGTCTCGCGAATGACTTTGTCACGGCGCCCATTGTGGGAAGCACAAGGAAGGAGAGCCTCGATGAGCTTATTGGTGAGCTTCGTGCCGTGAGGTAGTTAGCTGACGATAGACGGAGTTCATGTCAAACTCACTGAGGAGGAGAAGAAGTACATTGACGAGCCGTACACGCCTCGTGCTATCGTGAGTTTCGAGAACTGCCTGGATAGCTGACATGCAGGTCGGCCACACCTAAATACAGCAGAGCTTTCGCAGGCTCCAATGTAAGCTTACCGCGTCAAGGAGCGAGCTGACAGGCAGGAAGTGGCTCCGTGGGTGGTCGCATGTACGGTCACAACTGGGCAAGCGCGCCTCTGCGTGAGTGAGCAGAAATCGGTGATCCAATTGACATGCAGACTAATCAATCTCAAAGCGACCCAGGCCCATAATAATAGTAACAACCTTGTCATATCTTGGTCTATGAAGATAACTAGTCCTACACCGCATTCTGTGCCCGTCGTACAGCCAGGCTCCGCTGCACACCCCAGTCCTTCTCAAACAGCTTGCCCACTTCCTCGAGGCTGAGGCCCGAGGTCTCGGGATAGATGCGGTACAGAATCACCCACCCGAGCGCACACACGCCCGCGCTGACCGCAAACGTGATCGTGCCCCCGAACCGGTCCAGGACTGGGAGGAAGGACGCCGACACGAGCAGATTCGCGATCCAGTTCGTCATCGTGCAGATTGAACTGCCCAGAGCTCTGATCTGCACGTCGCTGAACAGCTCGGACTGCTGCCATGGGATGTTGCCCAGGCCGCTGGCGTAGGCTGCCACGAAGCCGAGCATGGAGGCGAGCACTAGCCAGGTGTGCGTGCGGTCCGAAGGTTGGGGGTCATTCAGGTGCAGGACTGGAGTCAGTTGCACGCAACAGAACTCTCAACTCACATTTGAAGTTGTACGCCACGAGGAGCAGGAAGAGCGTCATGATCGGCAGCGTCAGAAGCATTGTCCGTCTTCGACCCAGTGGGTCCACGATCTGATGTCAGCTTCAAGACCGCCGCTCCGCAGCTGACGGGGCTTACCTTCAGAGAGACGACGGTGAAGATGAAGTTGACGGCGGCGATTAGCAGTCCAGTAGCCGTCCCGTTGCTCATGCCGAGGGCGTCAAAGATCGTGGCGGAGAAGTACATGAGTGTGTTGAAGCCGCACAGCTGCTGCAGCCCTTGGAGCGTCATGCCAATGACTGCGGTCAGTTTCGAAAGGCACTTCAAAACTCACTGAGCGGTCGCAGGTTTGATCCCAGGAGCAATGCTGCCAGTCTCTCGGACAGCGTCAAGGCTCCTTGCGATGTCGCCCTCAAAGATGATGCGAGCAGGGCGGTCTTCCTCGCCACTTGGTCGGGCGTGGCGCGTGGATAGATCTGTCGCAGAATCGAAGTCGCCTGTGCGAGGTCGTTGTGCTGAAGCAGGATGCGCGCTGATGTTAGCTATAGGCACCTGCGACACGGCTGACTCACGACTCTCAGGCAGGAACTTGAGCCACAGAATCTGCACGATCGCAGGCAGGGCGCCGAGCCCTACCATCCATCGCCATCCGCCCTTGTGGTTTTGGAGCATCGCCCCGATACCTGCGTGTCAGCTCACCAAAAAAACATGATTACAGCTGGTCTTCCAAACGTACCGTATGCCACAACCTGGCCGCCAGTGCAGGTGAGCACATTGACGGTGACGAGTCTTCCTCGCAGAGCCCTCGGGGCCAGTTCGCCGATGTACAGGGGAGCCGTTGCGCTGGCAAGTCCGACGCCGAGACCAACAACAACACGGCCAGCGACCATGAGCCCAACGGTACCCGCGACTGCCTGCATCAGGGCGCCGGCGATGAAGAGGACATTCGCGATAGCGAGTGCCTTCTTCCTTCCCCGGTCCGCGATCGGCGCGCACAGGGCACCGATGAGGGCGCCCAGCGTCGTTGCGGCGGTGATGACCGACTTCTCGGAGATGGACAGCGCATGGCCTAGGTCTGAGCGGATCGCGACGAGCGTGCCGCTGATGACACCTGTGTCATAGCCGAACAGCAGGCCAGACAAGGACGCCGACAGCGTTAACGAGATGACATATGGTGTAAGGCTGTGGTAAGCTGTAAGTGCTTGTCTCAGCAGCTTACTCGTTCTCGCCGGGCACGATGAGGTCGTCGGTGTCATCCTCTGGAGGAAGGATTGGGTCGGAGTCGCTGGGTATTGGTTCGGAGGTCGGCATGGTGGAGAGCTCAAAGGAAGACACTTTGTCGTCGTTGTAGGCGCGCGGCGCACGCTATGCACCCTAAACCTGACCTTGACTGTTCCTGGTGTTGGGTGGCTGCGGGCAACGTAGGTGCGACAGGGAGTTGAGAGGCTCAGACGGTGTTGCGGGCGGCGAGTTGTGGAGAGTCGCGCGAGGGGATGAAGGTGAGTGGATGGTTCGGAAACGACGCGGCACTACACTGCTCGGGAATCAATACCCAGGAGTGACACGGCCATTTCCGCTGATCGAGGGGGGCCTGGGGCCGATCCTTCCCCGCCAGACACAGACACCCCGGCATTTCAAGGGACAATGCTCTCACACCCTCTCCTTGCCGACTGGGCTAAACTCGGAATGCATGCTTCGAAGGAAAAAAGTCGAGGGCGAGTCAGGTAGGGAATGCCCAGTGTTGTCCTGCTTTGCCCTGCTATGATCCGCCGAGGTGATGCATCTAGGAAATGACCGATGTCAGGACGTATCCGGATCATGCACGGCTGGGTTGGGTGGTAGAGTCGAGCGGCGTGTGGCGCCAGAGCCGAGCCTGGCGGGTCCGGAGAAAGCCGTCGACGAGTGCTGGGTGACGTTAAGCGCGCTCGGCGTCTTCCTCGTGCCCAGTCTCCTGCCCACCTCAGCCACTACATCCCCTTTCTCTCGCCCTCACGACACTCCCCATCACTTACGCAGCAGCTGCAGGATTACTTCATCTTCGCATACCCTGGCCCCGGACGCCGCACGCCCACACACCGGTTCGATAAAGTCAGACCCGGCCACTTGTTGAATATCTGTCTTACCCCTCTCCTCAACTTTACCTCCTCTCCATCCAACCTTCCACCTTATCGTCACTTGTCTCTTCTACCATGTCGACGACCAAGCCCGCCAACGGCACTGCCAATGGTACCGCCAACGGCTCTGCGTCGGGCACGATCCCGTTCGCCGACTACATGATTGCGCGCTTCAAGCAGGCGGGCGTGAAGCAGATCTTCGGTGTGCCAGGCGACTACCAGCTCGAGATGCTGGACTATTTCGAGCGGGACCCCGATGTGCAGTGGGTCGGCAACGCGAACGAGCTCGGTGCCGCGTACGCCGCGGACGGCTACGCTCGTGTCCGCGGCGGCCTCGCTGTATGCGTCACGACGTTTGGTGTTGGTGAGCTCTCGGCGCTCGGCGGCATCGGCGGAGCGCTCGCCGAGCGCCTGCCTGTCGTGCACCTCGTCGGATCGCCGAGGAGCCCGCTCCAGCACACCAACGCGCTCGTCCACCACACCGTCAATGAGCCGGGACAGTACCAGAAGTTTACCAAGATGAGCGAGCCGATCTCGGCCGCGACCTGCGTCCTCATCAATGTCAAGGAGGACTCGGACCTCAGCCTCGGCGACGCATTTGACGCGGCCATCACGACCTGTATCGAGGAGGGCAAGCCGGTTTACATTGATGTTCCGCTCGACTACAACCACAAGCAGGTCTCGAAGGCTGCGCTGGACAAGCCGCTCGTGAGTCACTGAAGACCAGGAACAGGACGATGCGCTAACGTCGTAGCCCAAGTTTGGCGCCCCCAAGAAGGGTATCCGCCGCAACCTGACCGACCCGCCCCTGGGCCAGGTCATGGACGAGGTTGTCGAGAGCATTCTGGACAAGTTCACGGCCGCCAAGAACCCCGTTGTGCTTGCGGACCTCTACGCGGAGCGCTACGGTATGCGTTCCGTCGTGCGCGAGCTCGTGGAGAAGACGGGCATGCGTGCGTTCTGTTCGCCGACGTCCAAGACGCTTCTGGACGAGCAGGCCTCGTCCTACGCCGGTAGCTACGGGGGCACAACCTCGCTCGCTCCCGTCAGCAAGGAGTTTGAGGCTGCCGATTTCGTGCTCTACATCGGCGCCATGAAGAGCGACACGAACACGGGCCGTTTCACGACCAAGGTCCACGGCGCAGTCGAGATGTACATCGACCGCTGCGTCATCGGCACCGCCGAGTACAGGGACATTGATATGCGCGAGCTCGTGCCCCGCCTCTTGCCCTTCATTGCCGAGGCGGCCAAGTCCAAGGGCCTGAAAGTCAAGCAGGAGAGCGTCGAGGACAAGGTCAAGGCCGGTACTGTGCTCGCGTACAAGACGGGCGTCGAGGGCGACGTCATCAGCCAGGAGTGGTTCTGGCCCCGCATGGCGGCGTGGTTCCAGGACACGGACGTGCTGCTCGGCGAGATGGGCACGGCCGCGTTCGGCATGCTCCCGCTCGCCCTGCCCACGAACGCGCAGTACCACTCGCAGTGCATGTGGGGCGCGATCGGATGGAGTGTGGGCGCCGCGCTGGGTGCGGCGCTCGCGGCGCGCGAGATCGATCCCGCCAAGCGCACGCTCCTCTTTGTCGGCGACGGCTCGCTCCAGCTCACGGCGCAGGAGATCGGCACCATGGTGCGCCGCGGACTCTGCCCGCACATCTTCGTCATCAACAATGACGGGTACGAGATCGAGCGCCTCATTCACGGCCCCGATGCAAAGTACAACGACATTGCAAATTGGGACTACACCATGCTCCTACCCCTGTTCGCGGGACGTACGGGGATGAAGCACGAGACGCACTCGGTCAAGACGCAGGCCGAGCTGCAGAAGCTGCTCGAGGACAAGGAGTTTGCCAAGCCGGACCGCATCCGTGTCATTGAGGTGTTCATCCCCAAGGGCGACGCGCCGCACGTCCTCGCCCAAATCCTCCAGAAGAAGATGTAACCTACTTTAGAAGCCATAGCCATAGTCAGCAGTTAAAAACGCATGCAAGCCCCATGTCCAGACTCTTCGAGTCTACGAGTAAATCCATAAGGCATACAACCGACACTCATCACGTCTACACCACACCAATCATCTTGAGCACACGGTCGACCTGCACGCCGCGCTTGCTCGGGGCCTGCTTCACGCCAAACAGGCGCACGGTCGTGTCCCGCCAGACGCCAGTCGGGTTCGTGAGCCCAGCGACATAAATGTCGCCCCACAGCAGGGACGAGAGCCAGATACAGCTCTGCGGGCTCCAGAGGAAGCGGCGGGGCACAACGGCCGGCGCGGGGGGCAGGACGTCGGTGAGGCTCGCGCCCTTGAGGAGGTTGAAGACCTTGCTGGACGGCCCGCCGCGCGTGGCCGGCTGCGAGTCCTGGAATTTGGGCAGGAGTTCTGAGATGGCCACCAACACTGGGTCAAGCGGCAGCCCCTTCTGCCAGCTACTGACCCACTCCTGTGTCGGCACGTAGCCGTTCGGCCCCACGCCGCCCGCCGCCAGCTTCAGCAGCTCCTCGTCCTCCTCGTCATGCAGCGACGTCACGCTTTCGGTGGCGCGCATCTTGCCGCGCGCCTTCTCGCTCATCGCTGGCGCCGGCGCCGGCGAGCCGGGGTTCGAACCCGCCGCCTCCGGCGACTTGGGCGTGTGCACTGACCCCGGGCTGCTCTTGGGCGACTTGGGCACGACGACGGTGAACTCCTCTTCGGCCTGCGTCGCGTCCACCTCGCGCACGCGCTCGTGCGACTCGCCCAGGTCGCCCTCCTCGATCTCGCGGCCCAGCAGCGCAGCCTTCTCGGCGAGCATGGCAAGTTCCGAATCCGTGCGCTTCAGCGTCGAGCCCTTCGCCGCCTCCTTTTCCTTCTCGGCCTCCAGGGCCTGGGCGCGCTGCGCCTTCTTGCGCTGGATCTCGCGCAGCCCGCTCACGAGCGTAAACGTCGCCAGCGTCTGGAAGTCCTGGTGCGAGCGCAGGATCGCGTACACGAGGTTCGGGTTCTCGTTCAGTTGGTGGTAAAGCACCGCGTTGAAGGTCTCGAGCAAATAGTACACGAGGCGCGGGTGGCCCTCGTCCGCCAGCAGGAAGTTGGGCGCCGAGAACGCCTTGAACAGCTGCAGCAGGCGCGTCGACGCCTGCACACCCAGATGCCGCAGGTACGGGGCGACATTTGCGATCGAGATCGTAAGAGCGGGGAAGAGCGGGTTCAGCCCCGGCGTCGTCGCGATCGAGTAGATTGACACGATCATGAAGTCGGCCGCACTGCCCTGCACGGCCCACTTGGCGGGCACCGTCTGGCGGAGCGGCTGGTTCAGCGCCTCAGCGAAGCCCTGGTCCGCGCTCAGCGTTTGCAGGAGGTACGACAGGAGGCGAAGGAGACCGTGCTGCGAGGGATCGTTCTTGAACTCGAGGCAGCAGAGGAGAATGTGCCCGATGACATCGATCGCCTTGCCCGACTCAAAGACGTAGCTCCGGAACCGCTTGTTCAGGTCCACCAGCCGCCAGAGCAGCATGTACGCCTCGAGCAGGTACGGGATCGGCTTCTTGCTTCCGGGGAGGTAGTTGTTCATCGTCGCAGTGTGCTCGTCAAGAATGGCCAGGATGCCGTTCAGCACGAACGCAAGATCGTCTTTCCGGTGCAGCTTGGCGAGAAAGTAGCGGAAGGCGTTCTCGTCCTTCTTCTCCGGGATCGCGGGGTTGTTGGACACAATGTCAAAGCTCCGGTAGTCGAGCGCCACGAGCAGGTTCATGAGGCACATGCGGATGAGCGTGCGCCTCTCATCGGCCGCCTTGAACATGAGGTGGTTGTACGGCACCGCCGAAGCGGCCGACGGCTTCGTGCCGGCGACAGACGTGTTGAGCAGCGAGCACAGGAGCGAAAGGACCAGCCGCCGCTCTAAGTCGTGCGTCAGGTGCTCTAGCGGTGGGTTCGCCGCGATCTGCAGCGACGTCGGCGAAGTGTATATCGTCTTGCTGACGAGGACGAGGAGGAAGCGGAGCACCTCGACCTTGTTCCGGTCGAGCTCGGCGTTGGACCCGATTGCGATCGTGCTGCCGACACCCTTCTCCCAAATAACGTAGTTGATCTTCTCGCCCGAGAGATCGTCCCCACGCACCGACTCAGGCACCGTGAAGCCGGCGCAGAAGAGCAGGTCGATCGTGCACGAGAACAGTCGGTCGGCAAGCGAGGGTCGGAGTTCGGTGCCGTCGTCCTCGGTCTTTGCCGCCGACGGCCCAGGGTTGCTCAGCGGATCCCGGATCTCGCCATTGCCCTCAGTCTTTTCCCGCTCCTCGTCGTCCTTGCCGTTCGCCTTGTCCTTGTCTTCGTCCTCGTCATCATCGTCGTCCGCGATCGTGAACTGCGCCTGCTCGGATGGCAAGTCCTCGGGCGTCTCGCGCTTCACACGCTCCTGGATCCAGAGGTACTTGTCCGCCCACGTCTGGCCGCCGAGCGAGCTCTCGTCCTCGGCCTCGAACACGATGACAAGGATGCGCCCGAGAACGCGCAGGCAGTTGAGTACCTGCAGATTGGTGCTGACGGTATCGGGCGGAATCACGGTCGCGCACGGGAATGATGGGTTCGACAGAAGCGTAAACATATGCGTCGCAAGCGCCTGGACGAGGTTCGCGACGTTGGTCGGGTTCGCCTGCATCGCTTGTCGGACTGGGCGTTAGCTACACTCGGACGAAGGACAGCTGCGGGGCCTTCCAGCAGGCGTCACTCACCATCCTGAGCCGTCAACATCGAATACACGTCTGTCGCCGAGTTGAACAGCGTCCAGTACTGGGACCAGTACTCCTGTTCCGAGATGGGAATTACGTCCTCGCCCGAGAGACGCTTCAGGCCATTGTTGCCGCCCTTGAAGTCGAGCATGGCGCCCTCCTGATGAGACAGGAAGGGCAGTCCGATCGCCTGCGGCAAAGACTTGAACGTCGGCAGCTTGCTGAACATGGTGGCGGCGCTGGACGGCGTACTGGACTGCGGTGCTGCGTGACGCGTCGATTTAGGCGCTAACTGTCGAGAGTTGTCGATGGGCGGCGGTCGCTCGCCAATTCCAACAGACACGGGTCGTCAAGTGATAGAAGAAAGCAAAGGATGGTCTGTGGGTGTTGGGCCTGAGCTGCGTTGCGAAACTGCTGTTCTAGTCGAGTGGGCGATGGCAGCGACGCCGGACAGACCAACAGGATTGATGAGGACGCAAGATAGCTGGGGTTGGCCAAGGCCAAGAAGGCGTGCCGCGTGGCGCGTCGGTCTGGCTGGCAATGGACGGACCGGATCTGGCGGACTTCGGGCCATCTCCGATCCCCGATGTCTCATGTCCGGTATTCGGGCCGGAAGATCGTCGCCAAAACTGGCCCCTCAAGCTCAAGCTATGCAGCGGGCATGCGGACTACTGATACAAAGATGCATTGCTATTGCTGTGACTATCGTTTACAATGGTATGAATGGAATGGGTATTCCCCTGGAGTCTGTGATTGCGGTTCTCCTGGAAAGATAACCGGCTCCTCGTGAAACAGTGAATTGAGGCACGAGGTCGCTTTTAGTGTTCGTTTCTTGCATTCTTCGCGTCGCTCCTTCGTTTAGCCTCGGCGAGATGTTCGATGATGGCCGCCTGGTGAACAGGCTTGGCGATAATGGCATTGGCGCCTGATGACAGATATTCGTCTTGGTCCTCGCGCAGTGCGTTTCCGGTGCAGCCGACGACGTACGTGTCGTTCCCGACCTGGCGCAAGGCCGCCACAGCCTCCACGCCCGTCATGATTAGCATCTGGTTATCGAGGAAGACAATGTCGAATGGATTATCCGCGGCGTTCTCGAGGATGAGATCGACAGCCTTCTTGCCGTTGTCGACTGTCGTCACCATGTGTCCCAAGCGTGAGAGCATGCGAGACATGAGCCGGCGCGTGAGGCTGTCGTCGTCGACAACAAGTGCGGAGAGCGATCGTCCAGACGACCTTCGCCTCTGATCCATCCGGTGCCTTGAGGTAGAAGGTACCGTCTCCGTGGTAGGGGACTGCTCGCTCATCGAGGACAATGGGTTTGTAAGCGGCTGATAGAGGTCCGCTAAATGGAGCTTCGGCGACATCTCCGGAGTCAAGATGTCGGTCTCGTCGCTGGAATTGCGGCTCATGACGGGTGGCGATTCCGGAGAAAGTGTAGGGGGAGAGTTGGAGTTGTCTGTGGGCATGTCCGTGGCGTGGTGAGAGTGCGGAGCTTTGTGTGTGGGTAGTGAGGGTATCGAGCTAACTGAGAGCGAACGCCGGGTTTCGATCGACACTGGCGGACAGCTGTCTATGACGTCTTTGCTGGGCACCTGGGACATTCGCTTCAAGTCCTCCCCAGCGGCATCGAGGGGATCAACCGGAGACGCGGTGCCACAAGGTGAGGAAGGGATAGCCGGAAGCTGAGAGCCGTGCATGTTGTCGAAGAACGAGCCTGATGACTGAGCTCGGGTGTGGCGAGAGGCGGAATGTGAGGTAATCTCCTCCATGCTTGTGGGGTGGTTGAAAGTCGCGCGACGGAATCCGGAACCAGGCTCGCCACTAGAGTCAAGGTAGTCGTCGGCGGAGGCGACTGAATCGCGGCGCTTCGGGAGGCCGTCCTTGGCAGTTGGAGGGCTGCCCATGACGTGCAAGAACGACGGTTTGGTGAGGAGAATGTGGCGCGACTCTTGCGGAAGCTCGTCGCCTGCAGATGGGATCGTGTAAGGCATCTCGAACCAGAAGCAGGAGCCCTTGCCGATCTCTGAGTCGACTCCCAGGCGGCCCTTCGAGAGCTTGATGATCTGCATTACGAGCGCGAGGCCGAGACCGGAACCCTTGCCACCCTGCCTCCGTCCAATCTCCGTTTGAACGTAGGGCGAGAACAGGTTATTGTCCACGAGCTCGGCCGCGTTGATGCCGACTCCTGTGTCGTGGACTTCAACGCGAACAACGACCTTGTCCGAGTTCCCCGTTGATGTCTCGGGCGAAGACGCGGAGCGCGGGAGAACCTGGGGCCTGGAGGTCGTCGTAGTACTGACATCGAAGGATCGACGGAGTTGATGTAATCCGTCAGACATGACGAGATCATACGACCCGCCGTCCTTGGCGGAGTCACCGTTGGAGGTCCTAGCGAGCGGCGGGAAGATGAGCTTCGTGACGAGGCGTACCGTGCCTCCGGTCTCAGTGAACTTGAGCGCATTGGACACCAGGTTGCTCGTGATCTGCCGCAGTCGCATCTCGTCTCCGATGAAAGCGGGCGCGACCATGTCGATCATGGGGTCGAGCTCGAGCTCGAATCGAACGCCCGATAGTTCGGATTGGGAACGGTATGAGAGCCCGACAATGTGCATCGACTTGTGGAAGTCAAAGGGCTCCTTGGCCTGCACAAGCGTGCCCTGCTCCATTCTGCTGTGCGAGAGGACGTCGTTCAGAACCTAAGCGTTAGTTAGAGCTCGAAGCGAACAACTCACCTTCTCCATCATGGTTAGACTGCCCATGAGACCATTCACCATGATCGCCTGGTCTTTGTCCAGGTCCCTGAACACGTCCTCGCCGTCGAGATTCTGCAACGCCAGCAGCGCCGTGTTCAGCGGCACTCGCACCTCGTGGAAGATGTACGACACGAAGCTCTTCTTAGTCGCTTGCGCCTTTTGCTCCATCGCCTGCGCTTCCCGCATGGCGATGTTCTGCATCCTGATCTGGTTCTGCGAGGAGAACAGTTGTCGATCCGTCCGTTCTCTCAAGTGATCGATCGACGCCAGCAGCGTGTGATAGATCAACACTGCACTGTCAGCGATTCACGCGCATCGGGCACCGCGCCGTATCATCCTGCTCAGGGAGACGGCGTCGGCAAGTCACACGACTACTCCCTCGATTTAATTTAGGAGAAGACAAGGCCTGGCCACGTCTGAGAGCAACTGCGCGGCGAAACTTTGGGCCGTGTGCAGTTCTTCTGCGTTGCGCCCCGCATCTCGTCGGGAAAGAGCAATATTTCGGCCGCTGATCCCGCAGAGAAACGCAAAACGTACCGCAACCCGACCCTGAGGGCTATAAATACTCACTGATAACAATGTTCCGGATGAACAGCGGCGGCGTCGATGGGTTACGGAGCAGCAGCGCTGCCGACAGGATCATCCATACAGCAGCGCACACGATGTGCAGGATGCGGTTCTGGTGCAGACCGATGACGGCGAGGGTCGGCACGCCAAAGATGACTCCGAAGAGCATGAACGCGACCGTCGACTCCTTGTGTCCGCATATCGACTCTTCTCCGTCTGCGACGCCGTAGAAGCCGGCCGATCCTCCGCAGATGTCCTAAAGGGCTGTCAGCACCGGGTTTGCCGTGTCTGCCGGCCGGCGATGCCAAGCGGCCGCCGGGGCCTTCATCAAGATCATACGTATCGATGATGCCATCTCCGTCTCCCTGAACCGCGACCCAGGTCCGTCAGGTCCATTTAGGGTTCAGGAGACGGTGTCGGTCTCAAAGGCCGCGACGCGCATCACCAGATGATCACACGCTCGCTATTCTCGCCAGACAGCACGGGCGAAACGGCGAGGCGTCGAGATACGGACACAATCGGCGAATCGCCGTGCTCCGCGGCAGCCATAGCCCCGCCACGGCCGCCAATCTCATAATTACCTCGCGGAGGCGACGCGCATGCGGGCACGAGACGTAAACACGGGTCATAGGGGCCAGCACTCACCATCTCAACTGTGATGATCACACCAGTGCTCCAAACCGTGCACGCAAGGACGATCTGGTATATGATGTTGTGGCGCAGTGGCCCATCGAAAATGACGAAGAAGGGAGTGTCACTGCAAAGAGGCCACAGATGCCGATGTACGCCCCGTACATCCAGCTAGCGCGGTAGTTCATCAACGCGCATGACAGGATCCACTGCACTGTGATGAACAGCGAGCACAGCAGCGCTGTCCGCTTGGTCATGAACCATTTCTCAAGGTCAGCTGTTGTGCGCCCTGGCAACCTCGCTTATTTAAAAGGAGGATGATAATGAATGGGCGAATGATGTAACGAATTAGACTATCATGTCCGAAACGTCGTATATTCGAATGCCCGAAATGGTGATCGACACGCGACCGAGGAAAGCAAGTCACGGTCCGGTGGGGAAGCACTCACTTCGCGCCTGAACTTCCGCTCGATTTCCTTGTCCTTGAACTTGGGACTGAGAAAGGTCAGAATAGGGTTGAGGACGTTCTTGTGGATGATCGATCGAATGCTGTGTTCCGAGCTGTTGGTGGTAGAGTTTTGCTCGTTGTCGATCCAGTCATGTTTGGACAGTGATTGGTAGACGCCCTTCTCGATTTCGGAAATGCTACTGAGCTTGGAGTCGAGCCGCAGGCTGCTCGTGGTGGCCGCTGTGCCCTTGGTGTCGAAAGAGGAGGATGTGGTTGTAGTGGAAGCGAGTGGTGGAAGGGGAGGCTGCGTGCTGTACGCTGGCGGAGGGGGTGCAAAGAAGTCGCTGTCGACGGCGACGTGGGAGACGCGCTCCGGAGGATCGGCGGGTGGACTCTGCCTGCCGCCAGGCATGTCGCTAGCAGGGGAGCATGAAGAAGAGGAAGTGAAGTGAGATGCTATGGAAGAGGGAGACGGTGGTGTATCGATGGTATTGGCTGGGTGGCCCTCATCTGGTAGAGCGTGGGGGGAGGCGGCGCGAGGATGACCCGAGTCAGCATGGTTGGCTGGATGGTTCGGCACGTCGCCAGGAGCAGCACAAGGCTGAGATTCAGGTTCGGTGAGGAGACGAGATGGATACCTGAACGGTTGATCTACCGAGTATGCGCCTTGCTCGGTGCCTGGGCCACAGCGCTGATCCTTGAATCGCTCTTTCCCAAAGCCTCCGGCTCCGTCCCCGCGCCTCTCCCACCCCGCCCACGCTGCCCATCCACCACTTCCACCAGCCTCCTGCCCCTTGTCCTTCTCCCTCGCCTGGCCCTCACACCCCTCGTGTCCTTTGCCCGTTTTCTCGGTCCCGTGCCGGCCACTTGCGATCGGCTCTTCAGTCCGATTTCCCCAGCCCCTCTGCACACCGCGCTGAGCATGACACGTCCGGGGTAGTCCAGAAATGTTAGCCTCGTCCAGCACACCTTGATCCAAGCACAGTTCTTCGGTGAATGCTGATGTAGCTTTGTTACGCCGAGATGTTCTGGACCACGCCCATACCGGCCATGGCGGCCGGTCCGCCCTGTCCTCCTTCGCGCTGTCGGCTCCGTTGCGCCGTTCCGGCGGCTCGGCGCCTTTTCTGCGCGTCGGCCCTTGGCCCTCTCTTCTGATGCTAATGCCGCTCGTCAGGCCGATCGATTGAGAGATGCTTTGCGCATCGTCAAGGGGCCCACTCTCATTTCGGGATTGCGGTTGAGACTGTGACGATACTTCGTCACGACTCCAGCCCGAATCCCCTCCATTCATAGCGAGAGTTCGTGCGCTCTGCCGTGCCCGTCGTTTGTGGTGTGCGTTGCTGTAGGCGAGTAGGCGAGCAGCTACCCCGAGCTTCTGGTTTGGAGAGCTGTAGCGATCTCAGACGCAGGAGGGATAGGCGAGGTAGACGAGAAACTCTCCGCTTGGCTCCGTCGGCGTGCTTGGAATTCGAGGACAAAGAACGCCGGACCAGCGGCGAGACGTGTGCTATCCAACAGCTGAACAGCAGACAGAGGACCGTTGTCGAGACTCGTTCGGATTCAGTTCAAATTCTGTGGGCTATCGGGTTGCGGCACGGAATCTCGCAGTCTGTTGTTGTGACGAGCGGTGGAGGTCGAGACTTCTCGATAGGGCAGTATATGCGATGCGTGACTGTTCGGACTCGCGGATGGTCGTGAGTGATCTGAGTGACAACAAGGCAATGATGGAAAGTTGTCAACAACAAATGTGCTGCATGAAACGGACAGCGTAGTCACGCACCGAACACCCGAGACGGGCACGGCAAATGAGATGGATGAAATGAGTTCGTGGTCAGCTTCTAATACCGACCTACCGACCCACACACGCTGTGCGGACGAGTCGGCTGGGGAGCTTAACGACGTGGGTATCACGTACTCGACCCTCAGACGCGGAGAGCGAGGCACGACATGAGGCTACCTCGCGCGGGCTTGATCCCATGATCCCAAGAAAGGGAAGAGTGCCTGAGATGGCCATTCCGACAGCGGGTGATGTAAAGGTGTGCATCCATATGGTAGGCTGGTATTCCACGAACCCTGCACGACCATTGCAGCGACCGCATGCATGCACCAGCCGACGTGCCGTCAAGGTGCCGCCTTGGAATCGAAGGGCCCCAGTTTCTCTCGATCTCCCATGTTCCGTGGTCCACAACAGCCCAGTCATAGTCCGGTTCGGCGCTCACGAGGGCACTCAGGTTCATAGCCGCATGTTCTTCGCACGATAAAGCACCTCTGCCATTGGCCGCGGACGTGTCCCATCTCATGACCGAGCGTCAGAGAGGGAAACTCTGTCAGGAAAGCTTGTGTGAATGCTGGCTCCAGTAGATCCGAGGATGCGCCGGTGGTTCTGATTCGAGGACGCGCCGAGAACCTGCCGAGCACTAACCGCCTGAAAGCCTTCGTGATCGAAAGCTTGTTGGCTGCTGTCTGGTGTGTGTGAGAACTGCGGCAAGTCCCGCAACATTCAGTCGAGTCAGTGGACATCAGGTGGAAGGACGCAGCAAATGGCAACTGGAAGGGCAGACGAATGTCGTCTCCTGGTTGCGCTGTCTCAGATCTCTCGGTGACGACGATTCTCCCCTCGTACGCCTCATCTACGCCTGCTGTGGTGACTACATCTGCATTGGCCAAGACTTCACGTGGCCATCTCTTTCGCATCCATAGCAATGGAAGGCGCAGGAACAGGGGTTCGAGAACTTACAATCTCAGGAGCTCATGTCTAATGTCTAACCGTCAAGCGAAAAGCGGCGCCGTTTGGCGGTGGCTGCAGGAATTGATCGGCGTCGATACCCATGTGCCCACAAGACATGGCTAGGGAAGGGGCACGTCGGTGGGGCGGGGGTTGGCTCTTCGCTGTTCGCGAGGGCTTTAGACAGAGGCACACGACCGCGATAGCGAGAGTGAGGAAGTGACCGAGCTGTCTTCCTCGGACGGGTAGTGGAGAATGACTAGCAGCATTACTTCCGGGTGTCACCAAACTGCAGCGCGAGCAGAACGAGCCCCCGACGATATGCTGACTTGGAAGGGAAGCTCATGAATGAGGGATGGACTATGTGCGAAGAAGAATGGTAAGATGTAGAGGAGACTCGTTTCCTCGACGCTTAGAGCGGAGACGCACAGATCGCCCACGCACCAGCTGTCTCATTCTCCACCGCGCTACTTATGAGTCAGCAGCCTCGGTTCCTCGACCATCCGAGTGTCTACCGTGTCTAGCCGCTGCGGAAGTGTGCTTCGTACGCTCTGTTTCTCGAAATTATGGCATCTGACCTACGTGTACAACAAGAAATCACTACCCAACGCTTCCAACGCAGCACAAAGAGCACAGTTAGACCTTTAGACCTTGTACACCTCGCTAGTTTCCTCGGACCACATGACCTCGTTTCGGTCCGACATCTCCTGGAGGGCCTTCCTTGCCTCTCCTGTTCCGAACATGTCGGCGTTGTCGAGCTCCTCGTTGATGCGCGGCAGCAGATCGCCAAAGTTGAGGAAGCCCTCGGCGCCGTATGCGTCAAAGGCAGCCGAGAGACGCTCGCGGAAGAGGTTGAGACGGTCAGCGCCGAGTGTGCCCTCGAAAGGTGCATCGGCCTCTTCGGCCTCAGCAGTGGCAAGCTCGGCCTCGGCGGCGGCAGCGTCCTCGTCGTCGTCGACGTCCATGCTGTTCTCGCGCTCGGCTGCGGTGCTTCGCGTCGTGCGCTGAGGTCGCGGCGTCTGGCCCTCAATGCGCTTCGCCTTCTCGCGAGCACGCTGACGCTCGCCCTCGGTTGCACCCTCCTCCTCCTCGACCTCCTCATCCTCGCTGTCCTCCTCACTGTCGCTTCCAGCAGCGTGGCCGCCGGCGTTGAGCTTTCTTCGCTTGCGGCGCTCGGGGCGGATAACCTCCTTGAACAGGGCGAAGCGAAGAAGTTCCTCGGCAGCCATGGCATCACGCTCGTCCACATGGGTGGCAAGGCGCGCCTTGGCGTGGGCAGTGGCGAGACGAATGAGAGTTTCGAGGGTACGAGCAGTCAGGGGCGAAGTGCGCTTCTGGTTGCTGGCGAGGTCATCGTTGCGGAGGGCGGCGTAAACACCGACGATCCAGTCGGCAGCACCCTTAGTCAGGATAGGGTGAATACGCGACTTGGCGTACTGAATGTACTTTTTGACGAACGCGATGGAGAGGACCTCCTTTCGCTTGTTCGCTCCTCGGCCAGAGGATGTCGTGACACCGCCGTGGAGGAGCTGGTTGTACTTCTCGAACACGGGAGTCTCAGTCGTCCGTGACTCCTCAACATCACCTCCAACGTCAAGGTGCTGGTCGATGTTCTCGACGGCCGGCGTACCCTCCTCGACACCAGGCTGCAGGTAACGGTGCATGCGGAGGACGTGCTCCGAGATCTTGCGGTCACGTTGCTCATCGCAGTCGTCGGTGACAACGAAGAGCAAATCGAAACGCGAGAGCAGCGAATCGGGGAGTGCAATGTTCTTGTGCGGGTCCTTGTGGACGTCGTACTGGCCGTAGATCGGGTTCGCGGCCGCGACGACAGAGCAGCGGGCGTTGAGGGTCGTGTGGATACCAGCCTTGGCGATGGTGACAGTCTGCTGCTCCATGACTTCGTGGATAGCGACACGGTCAACCTCTGACATCTTATCGAACTCGTCGATACACACAACACCACGGTCGGCGAGAACCATTGCACCCGCCTCGAGACGACGTTCACCAGTGTCCTTGTCAGTGGTGACGGCGGCAGTCAGACCGACGCCCGAGGATCCTCGACCGGTGGTGGCGATGGCAAGCGGAGCCGTGTTCAGAACGAATCGAAGCATCTGCGACTTGGCGGTCGAGGGGTCACCGACCATGAGGACGTTGATGTCACCACGGATGTGACCGCCGTTCTTGAGGTTCTTCTCCTCGCCGCCGAGCAGCATGAGGAGAATAGCCCGCTTGACATACTCGTAGCCGTAGATCGAAGGGGCGAGTGACTGCGAGAGGAGCTCACAGACATTGCGCTTCTTGGAGATCTTGTTAATGTTGCGGATGTCGGTGTCGGTGAGGGGAGCCTGGGCGATACCACCACCCTGCTTCGAGGACAGGAGGATGACGTTGTTGGCGATGAGCTGGGTCGTGAAACCGCGGGTGCCCTGGCCACCACCAAGCGACTTGTAGACACCGACAAGCTGGATACGGTCTCCAGGCTTGCAGACGTCTGTAAGGTCATCGGCAAGGACGACCTCCACGGAGCGTGGCAGCTGTCCGGGAGGAGCGCGCTCAGGCATCTCCTGAATGTTGATAGCCTGATGGTCGCGGAAGGTGGAAAGACCGTACTCCATGAGGAGCGCGTGTCCCTCACCATCATCCTGGGGAATAACAGTCGTCGACGCGGTCAGAGTGGAGGATGGCTGGATCATAGTCTGGTCGTGGTACGTCCTGGAGTGGAACTTGAACGTCGGAGGACAGTAGTGGACCGACTTGAGCATCTTGGGACGGACGAGGGAGCATCGTGTCACGATACCCTCCATCGAGACCATCTTGCCCAGCTGATTCGAACGCAGTGTTCGCGGGTTGCAGTGCTGCTGACCAAAGGAGCCGCGGAAGCCGACGTGGTACTCCTTGCCGGCAATGTCGTGCTTGTGAGGCTCATGAAGAGCCTGGACGAGTTGAAGAAGCGCAGCCTCAATCGCCGGCAGGAACTCGGTCGGCTTCAGGAGGAGGCCGTCGGCATAAGTCCTGTCATAATCACGGAGGTCGTCGAGGTTGACAATGAGGCGGTTTTGTTCGAGATCCAACATCTGGCGGATGGACTCGCGGTAGTTGTAGTTGGCCTGGGTCTGGGATGTTAGCTAAGAGCCCAGAGGGAGGCGGCTCACCTCATCATCGAGGAATTCGACGAACTGACGAGCGCGATCGCGCATGAGGTCGTCGGCGACGATGGCCGTGGGCTCTGGCTGACTCGCGAACTCGGCCATGGCTGTTGTTTACGAGTGACAGAGAGGGAGTGTTAAGAAGGGCGAAGACAAATAGACGGAGCGCTCTGAAGGGCCCGCCATCTCACGACGCGTTAGGAGTTTCTTCAGGGTCCACCACGTTCAGAGGCGCGTCGCGTCGTTTGCCCCCGTTCATTGACTGGCCACGTGGCTGCGACGCCCCTCGCCGGCGCCCTCCACCAGCTGCTTTCTGGCAGGTTCGAGCTGATGACGGAAGTCGTCGGCAGACGTCACAAGTTTCGTGATATTAACGACGGACTTGGTCGCTTTCGCAACAACAAACTTCCTCGATCAACCAATTCAAAACAATGTCTGAGGTAGGGCACTCATGCATAGGATGTACACTGACTTCTCAGGCTGAGCAGCTCAAGGCGCAGGCCAACAAGGCCTTCTCCGCGAAGGACTACCCGGAGGCGATCAAGCTCTACAGCGATGCCATCGCTCTTGACCCGACTAACAATGTCCTCTACTCTAACCGATCGGCGGCCAAGTCGGGAGCCAAGGACTACCAGGGAGCTCTTGAGGATGCCAATAAGGTAGGCTAAGAGCGCCGCAGGTTTGAGCTGACATCAGTGTATCGAGCTGAACCCCGACTTCTCAAAGGGCTACCTCCGCAAGGGTGCCGCTTACCACGGACTGCGTGACTACCCGCAGGCCGTCCAGGCGTACGAGGAGGGTCTCAACAAGGACCCCAACAGCGAGCCCCTCAAGCGTGGTATGGCTGACGTCCGTCGTGCCATGGACGCCGAGATGGGCCCGGGCGGCGACATGGGCCTCGGCAAGATCTTCAACGACCCGGGACTCATGGCCAAGCTGCAGGCCAACCCCAAGACTGCCGAGTTCATGAAGGACCCTAACTTCGTCCAGAAGATTCAGCAGCTCCAGGCCAACGGCGGCACGGCCGACATGCAGTCTCTGTTTGGTGACCCTCGCATGCTCACTGTCCTCGGCGTTGCCATGGGTGTGGACATTGTAAGTTAGGGCGATTGCGCTCACAGGACCAAACTGACAATAGGCCGCTATGGAGCGCCCCGAGGGTTCTGACGAGATGCCTCCCGGAGTTTCGCAGCCCCAGTCGTCCTCTCCCCCTCCCCCGAAGCCCGCGCCCAAGAAGGAGGAGCCGCCCAAGAAGCAGGAGCCCCAGCTCGACCCCGAGGAGGCCAAGGCAAAGAAGGAGGCCGACGACCTCAAGGCGCAGGGTAACGCCGCCTACAAGCAGCGCAAGTTTGACGAGGCGATTCCGCTGTACGAGAAAGCCTGGGAGACGTATCCCAAGGACATTGCGTACCTAACGAACCTGTCCGCCGTCTACTTTGAGATGGGTGACTACGACAAGGCGATTGAGGTCGCGCAGAAGGCTGTCGACCAGGCGTTCGAGCTCCATGCCGACTTCAAGGCCGTTGCCAAGGCCTATGGCCGTATCGGTACCTCGTACGCCAAGAAGGGCGACCTCGACAACGCGATCAAGTTCTACAACAAGTCGCTGACCGAGCACCGCACGCCGGACGTTCTCACCAAGCTCCGCGAGGCTGAGAAGACCAAGCTGGAGAACGAGAAGAAGGCGTACATCGACCCCGAGAAGGCGGAGGCTGCGCGCGAGGAGGGAAACACTGCGTTCAAGGCGGGTCAGTACGCCGACGCCGTCAAGCACTACACTGAGGCTATCAAGCGCCTGCCGTCTGACCCGCGCGGTTACACGAACCGTTCTGCGGCGTACACGAAGCTGATGGCTCTACCCGAGGCGCTGAAGGACGCCAACGATGCGATCAAGCAGGACCCGGACTTCGTCAAGGCGTACATCCGCAAGGCACTCGTGCAGAACGGCATGAAGGAGAACACATCGGCGCTCGAGACGCTGCAGAAGGCGATGGACGTCGACAAGGAGCACAAGCACCAGCGCGAGATTGAGAGCAACATGAACAAGATCATGAACGAGATCCAGGCCGAGCGCGCCAACGAGACGGACGAGCAGACGTACGAGCGTGCCATGCGCGACCCCGAGGTGCAGGAGATCATGTCGGACCCCGTCATGCGCCAGATCCTTTCGGACGCCCAGCAGAACCCCCGCGCCCTCATGGACCACATGAAGAACCCTATGGTGAGTAGAACAGTTGTATGGATGCGTTCCGGAACTGACACTTGCAGGTCTCGCACAAGATCCAGAAGCTCATCAACGCGGGCATCATTCGTACGAGGTAGACGGAGTAGCAGCAGTAGCAGTGTGTCAGTTTTCATTATGCATTGTAAAAGATCATATAGTCCACATATCGGAATCGATGACACTGACGTGAGCCCAAGGGTGAACCTGTGCACACACCGGCGCCCGTCAACACACACTTGCTCATGTGTGTGTATGTACTCGGCGACCACTCCGATCTCAAAGATATCTGATCTTGCGGGGTAGCGCTAAGATATGGGCCGAGGGGGGATGGAATGCCAAGTAGTGGGGACGTCGGAACCGACATTCCGGCGTGTTAATCAGAGCTGTGCGCCTGCGTGTCCTTGTCTCTCGGGTCTAGCCAGAATTCATATCTCACCGCCACACGCGTCACATTGACTGCGATGGCTTCTCTTGCAGCTTTCTTCTATGGGGAACCAGGGAGATCATCGTGCGGAGGACGGTATGCAGTGCATCGATGCGGAGACAGGGAGGTGGAGATAGTTCTACATGTTCTGGAGCCACAAGCAGAAACCAATGCAGGGTGCAGGGGAGGGTGAGGGGCCCGCGGCCGTAGTGAGCCCACCCTGGGTGATCAGGGCTCCGTGGGCGGCGGCGACGATCGTTCGGGCTCCTCGGGCTCCTGGGCCGCGGGCCGAGATACGTCACCATACAAAATCTCACCGTCCACCAAAACCCCCCATCCCACAATCTCCCCGGCCCGCTTGTCTGTTCTTCGCGTTCTATTCTCGCGCATCCGTCTTGCAATCTCCTAGTCTACCATCGACCTCACCACCATCCATTGTACGCCAGCGATCTGCGCAAAAGAGTGCTCCACTCGTCACCGACACCTTCGAAACTTCAGCGCAGCAAACCTTGTTTTGCGATCATCACCTCCGGACTCGGTCGCGGCGATAGAGAGACCTGACCCGCGCATCCTCTGATCCTCACCGGGACCAACGTGCTCCTGTCGCGATAGCGAAGCCAGTTGCGATCGTCGCTCTCCTTCTGTCTCCACCTCTCCAGTTGCGATCGTCGCTCTCCTTCTGTCTCCACATCTCCCACCTCTCTAAGCATGACCGACACGCTTCCCCCGCCGCCCCCGCCGCGGCGAGAGGCCCGCAGCACACCGCACTCGCGCACCAACACCCCCGAACCCGGCTGGAAAGAGCGCTGGGGCGCGAAGACCAAGCTTTGGGGCAACAAGGCGTTCGACAAGTCGATCGGCATCAGCGACAAGATCGGAACCAAGGTCAACTACGTCGTTGAGAACAAGATCGGATCTGAGGCGTTCTATCCCGTCTCGAACGACTTTCCCCAGGAGTGCGAGAAGGCCGCGCGCATCCTGCGCGCTTTCACCGGTGAGTAGAGTCCGACGTCAGGGAGTCGAGGAGTTCGGCCTCGGCAAGGGATCCATTTGTCGTCTATGACGCACGGCACGCGCGGACAGTATGCTGACGACATCAGTCAAGGGCATCGAGGTGCCGGATAAGCACACGCACAAGAAGGCGCTGCGCAAGATCCCCCCGACATTGATCAAGAACTGCTATGGTCTCGCCGTGTTCACGTCGATGCGCTCGGGCATCGCGCCCCTCGGCGGTGCGGGTGGCAACGGCCTTGTCGTCGCGCACAACCCCGAGACTGGGTGGTGGTCCCCGCCCGCGAGTATCTCGCCCAACACGTTCAGTGCAGGGCTCATCCTCGGCGTGGACATCTACGACTGCGTGCTCATCTTGAACAGCCCGAAGGCGATCGAGTCCTTCAAGACGCACAAGGTCACGCTCGGCGCCGACATTGCCGTCGCTGCCGGTCCGTGGGGCGCCGGCGCCGCAATGGAGTCGGGCAAGGAGGGTGTTCCCGTGTTCTCATATGTCAAGTCGCGCGGCCTGTATGCCGGTGTCGAGGCGGTTGGTCAGGTGTTCCTCTCCCGCTTCGATGAGAACGAGCGCGTCTACCACTGGCCGGGTGTTAAAGCCGGCGACATTCTGACGGGCCACGTCAAGATGCCCCGCGAAGCGAAGCCCTTCATTGCCGCTCTCGAAGACGCCGCAAGCGGCAAGGCTCAGGTGCGCGAGGGCCCGCCGCCCGAGGACCCGATGTTCAAGATCACGCCGCTCGCGGCGGCGATCGAGCTCGACGACGGCGAGGTGCTCAAGCTGCCTCCGACGCCGGAACAGACCGACGGGCACGAGTACGAGAGCGACCCCGAGACCGAGCGGGTGATTCGGCGCATGACGCTGCCGAGCGACTTCAGCCCGCCCCCAGTCGAGAAGAAGTGGATGCCGGCCCTCCCGCCTCCGCGCCACGGAGAGGCAATGCACCACCCGACCCCGCGCCGTGCCGGCGTGCCCGCCGGTGCGCCTGCCCCCGCTCTGCCTCCCAGGAGACAGCCTGCCGTGGACTCGGCCCCGGCCTCGCTGCATGGCAGCCCTCCCCTCCCGCCCCGCCGCAGCACGGAGATGCCCCCCACCCCAACCAGCCCAGGCACGCCGATCGCCGTCGCGGCCAAGCCCCCTCCCCTCCCGCCTCGCAGCCGCAACCGCCCGCCCTCGATGGCCATCCCCCCCACGCCCGTGTCCCCGACCTCACCCGCCTTTGCGGCGCAGCACTCGGACATCCCCCCCGTCTCCGAGATCGACTCGCCCGAGCTCATGAATGTCAAGGACGTGCACGCCGACGAGCCGCCCTCGTACGCTGCTGCCCAGGAGCCCGCCAAGGCCGAGGCGGAGTCGGACGACGAGTCGGTCTACGACGAGGTGGAGCAGCATCTCGCGGACGAGCACGCGACTGTCCAGGCCATGGACGAGATGCACATGCCCCCCGCCGCTGAGGATGAGATGGCGCCCCGCTCGTCCGAGGAAATGGCCACGCTCGCGTACAACGAGCCGGAGCCCACGGACTCTGAACCCAAGGACTCTGAGGCGAAGGAGGCGCCCAGGGAGGAGGCCGAGGAGAAGACTGAGAAGACTGAGGAGAAGGAGAAGGCCGACGAGCCGCAGGAGAAGGCTGAGGCTGCCGAGGCCAAGGATGACAAGCCTGAGCTTCCCGCCGGATTCCGTCTCCGCGAGGCGGGCAACATGGGTTTCCGTGGCTAGGCGTCGCTAGATATAGAATTGTAACAACTGTTTGTACACATAGATGGAGATTCGCTAGGCTTTGCACACCGCTTGACGTTTGCACATCTCTTTTCATATGACTTCTACTCTTTCTACTGACCATCTTCTACGCGTCAAGCTTGGGCTTCTTTGCCGCACGCTCCTGTTCCAGCTCCTCCTTGAAGTCGCCCACCGCAAGGCTGTATCCCGTCTGGGCGTCGTCGACCTCGAATCCCATCTTGAGGAACTCGTCGCAGTCATAAGATCCAGCCCACGTCTCACAAATGGCGATGACGGCCGGGTCCTTCTTGAAGCTGACGAGCTTGGTGGCCTCCTCGCCCCCGTGCTCTTTCAGCGCGTCCAGAATCTGGCGCGTCGTCACGGTAATGCCCGGGATGTTGATACTGCGGTCGCCCTTGCCGTACTTGAAGTTGTCCTCGGGCATGCACAGGCCCCACACAATGTTGCGGAACACCGTCTTCGCGCGCGAGAGGTACACGGGCATGCCGTCGATGAGCTCCCCGTCCGGCCCGTCGGCGACGGGACACACGGAGGGCAGGCCCTGCAGCGGCTCCCTAATCAGGCCCGAGATGAAGCTCGACGCGGCCGTTGAGGGCGCACCGGTACGAATGGCGACGGTGGGGAGACGCAGAGAGCGCGTGTCGAGGTATCCCCTGCGGCCGTAGTCGAAGGCGTACAGCTCCGAAATCGTCTTCTCGACACCGTAAGACGTGCCCGGGATGATGGGCGTGTCGGAGGGAACGACGTGGTCTGTTGGCTTGCACTTCGGTCCGCCGTAGACGGCCAGAGAGGAGATGAAGCAGTACACCATCTTGCGCTTCAGGACGTTTTCCGAGTGACGTCTGGCGGCGGCCAGCAGCTTGACGTGCGAGTCGACGTTGACAGCGTATCCGAGCTCAAAGTTGGCCTCCGAACCGCCGGACATGATTCCGCTGGTCGTTAGTCGTTTGGCTCAAGAGGAGGATTAGGACCGACGCCGGCGGCATCCCCACTCACTGAAGCGCAATCAGACCCCCGACCTCTTCACCCTCGAACAGGGCATCGATCTGCTTCTCATCGCCGAGATCCGCCTTGACGACCTTCAGGCGCTTCTCGTCGTCAATGACGCGGGGAGGCTCGACAATGTCCGTCGTAATGATGCGGAGGTTCGGGTACAGGTCGAGCATGAGCTTGGTGACCTCGCGGCCGACGAAACCTGTCGTCAGTCCTTAGTCTTCACCCGCTCCCCTGCCCCAGTGAGGGTGCACTCACCTCCCGCTCCCGTCAGGAGAACCGTCTTGATGTGCTCGGGCAGCTTGAGCGCGTCGTAAGTGGGCGTCTGCTTGGTCATGATGGATGTGTGTTTGGGGACGGAACAATGTCAGAGAGATGTCAGTTATAACGAGTTTGGCAGGTGGGCGACGGCATCTCTCGGTTGCCCGGGCCGAAGGCGCCGGCAACTAACGGGGTAGGATCCTGCCGATGCTGCGGTAGAGAAGACGGACCGATTTCTCGGACCCTGTCTGTGTGTACGCATCCAGATCTGGGCTGACACAATGCAGACGCCAGTACACACGAGAGATTAGGCCATGTGGAGACTGTGGTGGGCGCTCGAGGTAGATGAGGAGCCTATGCTGACTGATGCAGATCGGTCTTCTTTGCGGTGGTGACCGGCCAAATCCGTGGTGTGGCTGATGGTTTCGGTGTCTAACTCTGGCTGGCTTCTCGGCCGTCCTTGATTGCGTGTCACTTGCCAGCGGTCTGGGAGGGTGAAGGAGCCTGAAGGTGAGGGTCCTTTGGGCTCTGCTGGAGACTGCATCTCGGCAGTGGTTCCGGTCGCTTGGGGTGACATCGGTCACTTGCGACTCAGCGATCGATTATCAGTCGGCCAACCCTCCATCGATCTGATCTCTATCTGCGGCACGCGGAAGCCAAAGAGAGGTTGCCCTTAGCACCTGTAAGCTAACATAAAACTAGTGTACACCGAGCACTTCCCTGGGCAGCGGTTCTGCAGAATTATCGCGCTTGTAGTTGCACTGATGTTCGAAGGCGGATCGGTAGAGTGAATCCGTGTGCTCTGCTGTGGGGCAAATGAAAGTGCCCTCAGTGGAATTAAGAAGCGAGAATTACGGCCCATAAGCTTTCCGTGTAAGCCGCTTGTATTTGGCAAGCTGTCGGAACCACACCACGTGCTTCCGCTCCCGGCCTCCGTCACGTGACGCGCCGTCACTTCGCTCCTCATATGATCGTTCGCTCACGATCATGTTTATGCATCGCTTCGTTCCCGTTCCTCCCGTACAGATTAAGAGCTCACTTCTATCTCCGACCCATATAACTACAGCATCTCACCTTCTTGCCCCCTGGCACGGCCCGCTGGCCCAACTACATCGCCCGCTGGCGCATAGCCCTCTGGCACGGCCCGCTGGCCCATCGCCCGCTGGCGCACCACTACTTTAGCCCACTGGCTTCCGCCGCCGCGGCTAACACAAACAACACAAACACGGCCCACTGGCTCACAGCACTAGCGCACACACATCACATAAACACATGCCATCCCCTTCCTTCCCTACTCTTCCCACTCCTTCATCCCACTCATTGCTCCATCCATCCACCCATCCATTCGCACAACTCCCCAATCACTCCACCGACATGTACAACGTCACGGCGGCCGAGCGGCGCGCGCTCGACGATCAGCTCCGCACTCACTACTTCGGTATCGAGATCCTCACCGGCCACGCCAATGCCCGCCGCTGGGCCGATCAACTTGATCGTTGGCTGAGGGCCAAAGGACAGGGCGCCAGCACCATGTTCGGACACTATGTCGAGCCGTTCCGCCGCGACTACGAGACGGCCCCTGATGACCTCAAGAGCCTCATCCGCCCGCCTGGCAGCCGCGCAGGCGATTGCGAACCCCGCGGCCCCCAGATCGACCCCTCTTACATCCCCTCTGGGACGGGCTCCGCGCACGCTTTCCCCCGCGACATCGCCTGGACGGCCGTCTCTTCCACCGCAACTGAGACTGGCGGCGCGACCGCGTCTTCCTCGGCGACTCCTCCTGCCACCAGGGCCGCAGCAGCTCGCCGCGACCAGCCTCCCCACCAAACCGACTCCCAGTCGGAAGGGGGAACGCCCCGCCAGCAACCCCAACAGCTGATACGCCTCGGATCCTCTCTGCGTATCCCTAGCCATAGTCGAAGCTCAGGTCACTTGGCTCGTCACGAATAACACATCGTTCGGTAGTTCGCGGACACATAACCAATCACTGCTCAATATCGAACGGCACCCTAGCTTCAAACCCTGGTAGAAGCAGTCCGGACTAGCTATGGAACTTAGAAGCACGTAAATTAGCAATAGCACGATACACTGCTCGAGGAGTCACGAAGCCAGCTTCGCTGATTCTGTTCGACAGAAAAGGTATATAAGAAATACTTTGTAGCGGGAACTAGTTTGACAAGAAACTCTTTCTCATATGTTACACACGTGTTGGTAGATTCTTGACGGACATCATCTACGCAACACAAGGTCACATAGTTGGTGCCATCCTGCCCAACGCTCAGATACTGTCTATCGCCTTGGACAGTCTGTCACCTTTCCCGACACGTCAGTAGAGGTACTACGTGTACGTTTCTTCCGGGACAACTCTAGTATAGATAAGGCAGAGTCCGAGAGTAGTCGGACAAACTATCCAGTTACTTCACGCCCTTAGCAAGGCAAGCTACGACCACCACCTTCCACCCACCTGGCCGGTGACCTCCAGGCTCGGGTCGTAACAACAGCTGCCTACCCACTTCACCATCACTCCCAATGCGCCCGCATCAGGTACTCTCCCCGACAGCCAGCGTTTTCTTTCTGAGACCGACAGGCGCACTTGGCGCGAGTGGGCAAAGTGGGAGAACACCACGCGCGCAGCCATCCTCAGCACCGTGCACGGTGCCCTGGCCATCGCCCTGAACGACTGTTGGGACAGCAGCGAAATGTACAACCGCATTCGCAAGGAGTACTTCCGCCCCACCGCCGAGCTTTACCAGACCGTGCTCTCCCGCTTCTCGAATCTTAGGCTCGACTACCCCTGCTCGTCCGGGGCATGCACGCCTACCTCAACGAGTTCCTCTCTATTCTCAAGGACGCCGAGCAATGCGACTTCACCATCTCCGAGGAGGAGAAAGTCGGTCGTTTCCTCGCCGGCCTCAACCCCAACCACTTCGAGGACATCACCAACATGATCATGTTGTTGCAGAACACGTCGGACACGGCCATCTCATTTGACGCCTACGTCAACGTGTTCACCAAGATGACCTCCAGGCAAGCCACCGGCGAGGCAATGGACTCCAACCCAGTCTACTACTCCTTCTCCTCCGAGCCAGCGCCCCGCCAGACGTCATACGCGGGGGCCCGCTTCGGCCGCGATGCTATTTACCAGTCGCGCCCTTCCTCTTACAACACCGCCCCCCGTCACGCCTCTCATGATCACTCGCACCCGCACCACTCGCACGCACAAGGCAACCTTCCTCTCCAGCAGACCGACAACAACAAGCAGTGCACCTGGTGCGAGAGGGTTGGACACACCTACGCCGAGTGCCGTCAGCGCCTGCAGGGGCGCCCGTCCAAGCGCATGATGATCCGAGGTGGACAGCTCGAACTTCAGAAGTGGCAGGAGCGCCAGAAGCAGGCCGCTGGCAACGCGCACAACCAGTACCAAGCGCGCCCGCAGCAGAAGGCCGTTCCTGCGCAGCCCCAGCAGGTCATTCCCCAGCAGGCGACCGCGCCCGCTGCGACTCAGAGCGCCCCCATCCACGTCACCGAGGAGGTCCAGCAGGTCCCCTTCGACTACGGCGTTCCCCTGGTCGATGACCTCATGGACCCCGATCTCGAGCAACAGGCTGCCACCGCTCAGGATGGCATTGGTGAGGTAATCAACTACGTTGACGACGCCTATGACAACTACGACGCCCCCTACAGCTCGCAGGATTTTGAGCAGGGCGCCGTCATGTCTGTGACCCGTGACGGTGCCGCGCCCTCCCCCGCGGTCACCTCTGCCGACTGGCAGACAACTGCTCAGCAGTCTATTGTCAATAACCTGTCCATTATTCCCACTGAATTTGTCCTGGACTCTGGCGCATCATCGCACATTGTCAGGGACCCTCGTCTCCTTTCCAACATTCGCCCTGTGCGGCCTATCACCTTCACCTCCGCCGCTCTCGATCAGAGCTTCATGTGCGGACGCGCAGGCACACTCACCATCCGATTCAACCCTGTCACCGTGGCCCTCGTCCACAACGTCTATCTCTGCTCCAAGCTAAGCAGAAACCTACTGTCAGCGAAACGTCTGATCGACAACAAGTGGGTCGTCCTGCTGAACAACGACGAGGTGGTCTTCCGAGGTGTCAAAGTCGCCATCAACTGGCCCAATCAAATTGCGGTCATTCGCCTACACGCTCAGCGCAGCGACCCGCATCTCATCCTCGCCGCCGAACATTTCGGCAACCCTCTCGTCGATTCTCCGATCCGCAAGTCTCCCCTGCACGTGCTGCACGAGCGCCTTGCCCACACATCCAGAACAGCTCTCCTCCGCCTCGCCAAGGACGGCAGGATACCCTTGTCTCACAAGGCGGCGCAAGAGGATCCGCTCAAGATCACCGACTGCTACTCCTGTGTGGCGGGCACGCTGTCTCGGATTCCTTCCCTTGGCACAGGCCAGCGCGCTCCTTCAGCCCAATCCGAGACACTGCAGTGCGACTTCGCCGGGCCGTTTACTCCTTCCGAATCGGGCCACTACAGTCAAATGCTGTTCATGAAGACAGACTTCACCAACATAGGCTTCTCCTTCCCATGCCTGAACAAGGGCCAGGACGTCATGCTGAAACACCTCGGCTTCGTCCTACGTCATCTGCAGCTCAGAGGCGTCAACGTGGTGCTGGTCTGCGCCGACAACGCCTTTGACCTTCCTCTAGTCCGCCAGCTCTGCACCTCCCGCGGCGTGGCAATGCGCTTCTCGCCCCCATACGAGCACAACGTGACCGGTCAGATTGAGCGCTTCATCGGCATTGCCAAGACTCGCGCTCGGGCTGTTATGCTGGCCACTCCTTTCCCCTCGCGCTTTTGGGACTTCGCCATCAACTATGTCGTGGACGTAATCAATATGACCGCCGACTCCGGGGTCCCAGGCAAGACCCCCTGGGAGATCTGGACCGGGAGGCCACCCAATCTTCCCAAGATCCGCCAATTTGGCGAATTCGTCTCAGTCCACATCAGCCTGGACACCGGACACAGGGCGAAGAACGCGCTCGCCCAGCCGGTGAACCAGTTGGCACGCCACCTGGGCTTCGCGCGCGAGTCATCGGCGTACAAGGTCCGCCTCGAGGTGAACGGCCACATCCTAACCACCGCCCAAGTCAGGTCGGGTCCTCCCTATCCCCTCTCAACACCGCTGCGCCTGTAAGACGCCGATGTAACGGGGCCTATGTATACTAGACGTATCGACAACAGAGTCAAATGATTTCCGGGGGAACCAGGTGACAGTAT